GATTAGCTTGAGCTCTGCAGATGAAAAGTTCAGATCCCAATGCCCTTTATGAACTGGTGGCTTTGGTCAAGCTATTTCACCACCCTGGTTTTGCTTTTCTTATTATAAAGTGCAGTAATAACACACCTCATTCAAAATGCTGTGAGGCTTTGATGATACAGTTGTGAATAGGAGCTAGCCCAGGGCCTTTGGGCCCCACTTGGTGCTCAATCATGTTAGCCACTTTTTTTTTTTGGTACCGGGGATCAAACTCGGGTCCTTGCACTTGCACAGCAGGTGGTGAAACCAGAGCTAAATCCCCAGCCCAATGAGCTACTTTTTATTACCATGAATCTCTGATCTTCAGCTTCTTCTCTAATGCACTGGGCACTACACTCAGCCTCATAGTGTAATTAATGGGATAAAGTATATAAAACCCTGGCCGGACACATGTGACACCCAGGAGACGCTCAGTATGTAAATTATGGAGTATCTCATCTAGGCACACCTTCGATGTCACTGAGATTGCCACTACACTTGAGGGCAGAAAATGGTCCACAATTTAGGTCAGATTTACAATCATACTCTTAGGGAGCAAATTTTTTTCTCTAGTAAATGACGTGTACTGCTATGGCTTTGGATGTATTACCCTCCTCAGGCAAAAGGAAATGCCACTTGCCTTTGTAGTACGAAGTCTGTCCATGTGCATCTGCAGGATGGAAACAAAACTGCAGGCGTGTTAGTTTGGAGTTAGTGGCTGCTACTTTCCTGAGTTTCCATGGCTGTATTTAAAATCTATAATTATCATCAAGGACAAAAACAAAACAAAGCCAAGATGATGATGATGACTTCCCAGGGGAGTAGACAGATTGAAGTTTTTATCCAATTCAGTAAAATAAAGACACTCCCTAGCAAATGGCTGAAAATTCAAGAAAAACAAGGACCATGTCTCTGTTCTTTAGACCACTACCACAGTGCCTTAATCCAATGAAGGAGTGCAAATGAGTCTTGCTGAGTGGCTGGGCGAATATGTGACTTGCCCATTGTGTACAGTCCGTTCCTGTGGCCATGGGTAATATCCTGACTGAAGAGGGGTTTTTTTGGTAGTGGATGCTGAGGCAGTTACAAGTCAATAAATGAATCAGTCTGGTGCAGTAGAGGATGCCTGTAGTTCTAGCACTTGGGAGGCTGAGGGAGGATCACTTGAGCCCGAGAGGTAGAGATCAGCCTGGGCAACACAGCAAGACACCATTTCAAAAGAAAGAAAGCAAGAAAGAGTCAGAAAAACAGAGACAGGGGGCAGGGGGAGGGAGGGAGGAAGGAGGAAAGAAAGAGACTCTCCATCAGGCCATCAGACTGTCAAGGTATTGGAATCAACCCAGCCGTGTTTCTAACTACCCAAGACAAGCCCCAGCCCAGATTATTGATTGAGAACCCTAACTGATTCGGAGGCACAGCTCTAACTTAGAACTATTATTTCACAGTCTTCAAAGTTGCTAGGGAAATGAGATTAGCAACTGGCAGATGTGCCAAAACTCCTACAGTCAGAGCTGAAAGCACTGGTTACTACACCCCACTCACTGAGCCTGCACCCACTCAAAACCCTTTTTGAAGTCACTTTTACTGAGGTAAAATATACATGACTGACATTGGTCATTTTAGCCATGTTTTAGCACACAGAGCCTCAAGCACATTCACAGCAGTGGGCAACCATCGCCATTATCTCTGGAACTTTGCCATCTTCTTCACCCAAGACCCACGAACCAACCCTCCATCTTTCCCCTTTCCCAGCCCCTGGCAAAACCATTCCATTTTCTATCTCTGTAAGTTTGACTTCTCTCGGCAACCCACATAAATGTAATCATACAGTACTTGGCCTTTTGTGACTGGCCTATCTTACTTAACATGTCTTCCAGGTTCACCCATGTTGCTTCCTTCTGTCCATTCTCCATTGATTGACATTGAGTTGTTTCTATACTTCAGCTTCTGTGAATAAGGCTGCTATGAACACAGATGTACAAATGTCAGTCTGAGCTCCTTTCACTTCTTTTGGGTGTGCATCCAGAAGTGGAATTACTGGATCACATGATAATGCTATTTTTTGCTTTCTGAAGAATCATCATGCTGTTTTCCAGGGGCTGCATCTATTTACATTTCCCCCGGACATTCAGGGTTCTAATTTCTCCATATCCTTGTTGACATTTGCTATTTTCTGCTTTTTTAATAGTAACCATCCTCAGAAGTATACCAGAATCTTTCTTACCACAGCACATTAGGGAGCCACTCTCAAGTGATTGAAGTTAACAAAAAGATGAAAGCCATTTGTTGTTTCTGAAATGTGATTATTCCTCCAAATTGTGATTATGAGATTTCTACACTAGCTGACATGAGTTTGTTTCTGCAGGATTTCCCAAGCAGCAATGGTTGTAGTATTACTCAACATGTGCTCGTGGCTGATTCTGTGAAACAGGAGGACACCAAGAGGAAGGACACAGGTGGCCAGAGACTGGATGGACAAGAGAGAGCTCAGCCTAAACAGCGCTGGAGATGGCTCATGCAAAACACCAAGTCCAAAACTATTCAAGCCAGGAGGTGGGCTGACAATAATAATAAATGATAAGTCTTTTTCTTTTCTTTCTTCTGGTTTCTTCTCTCTATTTCTCTATTGCCTATGAATCCTGCTTTGAATAAACTAGTTTTCTGTTACTCTCCCAAGGGCAGATTCCAAGCACGACTCGGGGATGCCTTTCACCCTGTATTCCATGTGAATGACGCTGGCCAGACTTGTGCATGCACTGTCTGTGGAGCAGCTTTGGGCAACTACCCCCTAAGAAACTCACAAGAAGATACTAGAAATAATGTAAATGTGTGCTTACACATCTGTCAGCCAGAGTTTTTAATAAAAGTTTTTATAGTTTGACTTTAGATTTATGAAATTAATAAAAAAGCTATAAACCTTATTTATCCCAAGAATAAAAGTTAATTCAACATGAGAACTATTTATGAAATTAATAAAATATGTGATTTATAGTCATTTACATGTACACACAAAATTATTGTCTGTGGCATTTTTTATAATAGAAAATAGAAACAAATATCCATTAGTATGGGACTAGTCACATATATTGTAGCAGATCTATGCAACTGTGAAGAGGAAAGCACTTAATGTACTATATGGAAAGATTGCCCAAATGTATCATTAAATGGAAATAGGTTTAAAAAAATGAGTATTGTATGCTGCTGTGTTTGTAAAAGAGGGATACATGGAACATGTGCATGTTAAATGCATATTTGCTTGCACATGGCTGAAACAGCCTTCAGAGTGCTACACACATAAACTAAGTACAGCACTGCCTGTGGGAGAGGATCTGGATACATGAGAAACAGAAGAATCTTTTTTATGTACCTTTTTATGTTTTTCGTTAAATTTTCAACCATGGAACTATATTCTATCATCTTTCCAGTGTTCCTTCCTGAGCTGTGACAAGAAGGCTATCAGCTCCTTCCCAGACTCTTGCAGTGGGGTATGGGCGCAAGCTTCTGTAGCTGATGCACAAGAGGTGCTCAAAAGACACAGTGAATGTTTACACATCTACAGAACTGAGTAGAAGACACAATGCTGTTAATCTTCCTTGCCGAGAACACACTTATCCCATTGTGCTTGGCAATGTGTTTTTTACTGTAATACATTTTTAAAAATTTAAACATTTGCCATATTTTTCGATGACACCTTGTACTTTGATGAGAAGTGGAGGTGAGTGAATATAGCTTCTTGCTGCTTTGGGTGGTGGTTGCTGGAGGCAGCAAGACCATGGTGTGGGCGGCAGCTATGGCACTGGTGTGGCTGCTGAACACTTTGTCTCAGTGCCCAGCGGCTGGCTTCCTGGGTGCTCCTTTGAGGCAGTTACAGCAACCCAGTTCTTCTTGCTCCCCTTGCTGTTCCCCGGTCTGCACGGTGCTGTTTAGCAGCTTCTGACTCACTGAGTTCCTGTGTAAGGCACAGGCTGGGGCTCCCTGGCAGGTTATGTGGACCTCTAAGGCTTTCTGAAGAGCAGTTCCCTCCTCTTGTCCTTCCGATGGGCATTGTAAGCATTCAGCTTTGAATACACAGCCCTTTATGCTTAAAAGACCTCCAGTGGTTTCTAGTTCCTGCAAGGATCCCAACTGATTAAATTATACGCTAAAAACTTAAATATAAAAGCGTAATATTTTCCACACTGGGAGGGGGCTTAGAAACCACATTCTTCCTGGGTCCCTCTAGGCCACTCCCAGCATTCCAGTTTTCTCGAGATGGGTTTGAAGGGGACCTGGTGTTTCCTGTGGTGTGGGTGCCTGGGGGACTGAAAGAACAGGCAAGAATCCTGCTGCCCCTCCAGATCCCAGCCCAGCTATGGTCCCCGACGCGGCTGAGAGAGGGCTTCCTTCCCGGGAAGGCGAGCGGGGGGGCGGGGGTTGCCTACTTCAGCAGGAAAGCTCGACTCTCTTTCTGCCACCAGCTGCACAATGTAGCATCAGTCAATGACTCCACCATTTGAAGGTGACAACTGAGTCTACGGCCATACCACTCTGAACACGACCAGTTTTGTCTGAAGGCAACAACTGGGAATACTCGGCAATCTTCCTTCACCCCATTTCTCAGTGGCCCAACTGTCCAGCTTCCTCAGGCCTGTCATGACTTTCTCATTAAATTTGTTCAGAATTGCCGAAAACAAAAAACAAAAAACTTAATATAAAAATGAAAGTCATTGCTAAGAAAGTACTTTAGTTCTCAAAAAAGATTTCTTGAGCAGTGTTCCATGCTTGGTTGTTACTTATTTTAAAATTCTTATCCTAGTAAATCATTGAATATTTAATGAGTATCTGTTAGCTTAATAATGGATGAATTAAAAAATAGATGAGTTAATGTAACACCCTGTCAGGTCAGAAGTAAATGTCTATGTGAAGATGTGAGTTTTATGTTTGTGTGCATATGTGAAAAGGGAGACACAACCCTTATTTCCATTAAATTTCGAGAAGACAACTTCCAATATTTCTTGTTGCCTGTTTTTATTTAACTCAAAATAGCAAGTAACATAAAAACATTTCAAAAATATTGCTAATGGTTGAATATTGTCATTTTTGGTTGAGAACACCTCATTACTCAGTTCTTATTTCCAACATGTAGTGACATAATCTATCACAAAACATAATCTTTAAGTTTGCAGCAGCCTTTAAACCTGTATATTCAGATTGTAATAAAAAATGACTTAGTTATTAGTTACAATTTTAAATATTTTTCTCCCACACAGAAACTTGTTAAAACTAGTAACCATAAACAGGCTATTAATTAGTATTCGATGAAATGCCCACATATAGCACATACATATAGGTAGTATATATGCTTTTATCCTTTACTACCCAAAATAACTAATGTTGCTACGATGTTCAGTGGAGTTATATACACATTTAAACTTCATTAAATCAAACATGAGGTCAGTGAAAAGGAAAACAGTGCGACACGCTGCAGCCCCTGGCCCTCCTCAGAGAGTGAGGTCCTTGCAAGGTCCATCTGCTTTCTTCCATTGTGGTCAGCTCACACCTGCCTGTCACCAGCGACCATCTTGCAGGGCTAAGTGTGATTCTAGTGTTTGAAAGGATGTGCTCTTTATATAAAATGGCCTCTAAAAACACCAGCAATGTCACTTGGTCTTCAAAGAAACCCTCCTGGCTCCAACATGAGAGGAAAGTCTTGATGGGGTGATGTACAGGCTTCTAGCCCAGTGCCTTTCCAAGGCTAGGGTCTTCCTAATGCCCATTTCATCTTATTGCTGACGTCAGAGGCTAACCCCAAGGTGTGACACAACTTCACTGTAATGCAAATCATGATTTTAAATGCCACAGTATTGTCAATATAATGTAACTTCCAGTTTGGTTTCTTACTTGCACTTAGCAGTGCTTCTGGGTTACACTTCTGGTTGCCAGTACTTTAGAATGTACCATCACTGGCTGAGAAAATCTCATGTACAAAGATCAGTGTGTGAAGAGATTTGAACAAAAAAGTGAGCCAAGTTGATCAGCCTAGTATAATTCAGGATATGGTTTTCCATTAGAAAATGGTGCAGTGAAGCAGAGAGTACCTTCGCTGTGTTACAGTTGGTACTCCCAGGAATCTACCATGGCCTCTTCCTCATGGGTTTCCAAGTTGGCAGCAATGTTCTACTTAAACACTTGGCTTTAACCTGATCATCGCCCTGGTTCAGTTTCTATTTTTAAAAGCACCATTCTAATGGAAATGTCCCTGCCCTGAATTAAGCTGGGACTGAATTTTACCACTAGCTACAGCTGTTATGTCATAGAGTTTAGGTTAATTTGGTAGATTTCGATTTCCTTGACTACGACTTTGAAACCTGCTTCAGCTTCTTTGAGCCATGTAGGGTTTCTACCTGGGCTGCAGATGAGGGTAAAATATCCCGCGGAGCACTCCTTCAATAACCACATCTGGAAAATCTGAAAAACAAAAGGAAAACTGATTCTCTTTTGTGCATCAATAAAATATAATTGCATTCAGCAGAATTTAATGAGCTAAGGCCTCCGTAAGTGAGGAATCCGCACCGCCGTGCAGTTTGCCTTGTTCACGACATGCCATCACTCATGCTGCTGCAGCCAAGAGCTGCTCTTGCTACCACCAGGCACTACAGGAATGCATGGCCAGATTTGTAGCTTATCGATTGAAGGGATGTTCTAATGGTTAATACTGCTAGGCCCCAGCTCTTTATCTGAATGTTTTCTCACATGGAAGATGGATTACACTGGCAATTCAATTTCTAACAAAATCTCAATATACTTGAAGGAATTCCAAGATTTCTACTGGGAATACTTCGCAGCAGTTTTTCCATTGTGGTTTACAGCAGTGCTTAGTTCAAAGTTGTCTTGCGTGTACTTGTTCTATTACACTGGCTTCCAGAGGGCGGAAAGATGGGGGTCTGTCTTCCTAACTTTAAAGGGCAAATTTCCAACAAAAGCCATCCTGTCAAATTTGAAAAATCAGCTGCTTTTGTGTAGGAGACACAAAGGGAAACCAGAGGTGCACAGTATGTTGTGCCACATGCCAGTTATCAGAACAGGTAAAATATGAATGGATTGCTTGAATGAGAACCAATTTGTCTCATGGTTCAGCTGTTTGTTCTAAATGTCAATCTGTACATAATTATACCCAGGAACTATGCTAAAGCTGAGCACTTTAAATAAGTATAGTTATTATACAAGGAAATTCAGTAATCTTATATTTTATAGAAAAGAAATAATGTTTATTAATCCATCCTCTATAAAGTACCTACTATGTAAAAACCATGTCCGAGGGTATTAGGCCTCACTGAGGAAGGTAGGGAGGCTGCCGGGAGGACAAGCTGAGGTGGGGCGCTAACAGGAAGGCAGAGGGCACCCTGGTGGGCACAGAGTCCTAAGTGGGAGCTCTGTGGCAAGGAGGAGGCAGGAGGAGGCGGGGGCAGGGGAGGGGAAACCAAGTCACACCTGGGTTAGAACCAGCCGGAAGTTTGGCTTTACTTGAAATATACTGAGAAGTTGTTGAGGGATTTTAAGCAGAGTGAGACAGGAAAAGATTGTGTTTTAAAAAGCTAACCCTGGCTGCCACTCCAAGAATGGACTGAAGCACATCTGAAGCAAACACAAGAGCACTTCAGTTACCAGGCTGCTCGAGGATAGTGTGGTGTTGCATGCAGAAAAGAGGGTGGGTTCTGAGGATGGATTTGATGCAAACAGTGAGCAAAGGGGAGGAAGAAGGCAAGGGAGCCTCTGCCTTGCACAACCACAGGGTGATGGCGGAATGAGAGGGAACCAGATGATAATTCAGCTTTGGACTTGTGTAGTTTGAGGTCCCCTGAGACTCACCAAATGAGAAGTCAAGTAAGTAAACACAGTGACAAGTTTACCTCAACAAATATTTAGTAAAAGGCCACTGTGTTCCCGAGAACTACTTAATAGCTTTATGACTGTGAGTTTTTTAACTTCTCTGTGCCCTCTTTTCTTCAATTGCAAGGTGGACTTCCTAACAATACCTACTTTATACTGATGAGGGAAACCAGGTTCAGAGGCCTGGGCTTGGCATACAGGAAGTACCAGATATGATTAGGTATCAAGTACTTCTTTATTGTAAATATAAGTGATAGTCTTGGGCTATGCTATAGAACCCACATGCTAGCTATTTTTTATTCTGAAACAGTCCTGCTACGTCATTATATTGCCCAGCTTTGGCTTAAACTTGCGACTTCTGTGCCTCAGCCTCCTGGAGTGCTGCAATTATAGGCATGGCATTCATCTCTGGCTATCTAGTTTGTCTGCCACGCCTGGCCTTCCCTCCATTTTACACTTTGGATTTTGGCTTCATGGCATGCCTGATTTAATACAAGGTCCATTACTGCTGGAATTACTCAGAACACTGTCCTTGTTCTTGTTTACCCTGAGAGATGATGAGAAAGAATATGATTTAGGGTATACGTTTTATTGGTTTTAATCTTTTAATGAATGTTTATTGCAAACCAGAAAAAAGAGTAAACAGGTGAAGGAGGGGCTCTCGAAAGCTCCATTAGAGGGGGCGTTGGCAAAAGCTTCTGGAGCTGCATCATTCGGCATAAGGCCTGGGAACTGAGAAAGACAACTATGTGTGCAGACCAGAACATTCAAGGAGAAGCAGCAGCAGGTGTTGTGTGAGGGAAAGGTGGTTGGCACGTGAATCCCAGAAAGAATTCAACAGTGGTGGGCCCAACTGTGTGAGATCTTAGTAGAAACATACGTTGGGGCATACCACAGGAACCTCATACTAGGTGGAAATACTCTTCATGCCTCAGCTTTGGATATGGGGTGTGCAAGACCATGAGCAAGGAGGAGATTATTAAAACAGTGGAGTGAGAGGGTCTATACAGCCTTCAGGTGAGCTGCTCAGGACGGAAATGGCAAAGCCACCGGAGATGGGTTAGAGGAGGGGAATGCGGCCAACACGTCTAATGCTGATGAGAGGGTAAAGAAGATGAAGAACAAATCCATCCAGAGGGCTCGGCCATGTAAGAGGCCATGGAGAACCTTTCAAAGAGTTCTTTTGAATTTCCCAGAAAAATCAAAACTAAGGTCAAAAGTACATGGTTTTCAATCTGGTAAGAGGGACAAAAAGTCTTTGGCCCCTGATGTTAAAAGCTAAAAGGATGTTTCATTGTTAATATTTTATAAGAAGATAATATTTAAATGTCAGAACTTTAAAGGTAGATACTCCTCTGACTTTGTAGGGATCAGTGTATCTATGAAAATATCTCCATATTCAGTATTCTCTGGAATAATAACCTCAGCATCTTGCTAAGAGACCCAACACAAAAATGTGATATAAGTGAAGTTTCTCTTTAAGTTAAGTGCTAAATGTTTGCAAGAATAGATCATTAGGATAAAATTTCTAAGACAACAAAAATTTGATTTATGAATCTGGGCTGGCTAAAATTCCAAGAAAACAGATGTGGTGACTGCCCCTCTCATACCTGGTTCCGTCTATCTACCAACTCATCATTTCCATTACTCTCCTAGGGGAACCCTACATTTTGCAATTCTTCGTCCACGTGCCCATGCTATCATCAATGCGTACTTCTTACTCTTTCTAGCTCCACATGTTTTCCCTGATTTTTTTTTCCCCAGAAGGCTCCTCCAGTTCTTGGCTGTCAAGCCAGTTATGTGGTGGCATTTGGTGGGAGCTGCTTATTAAGCTGGATGAAGTAGAGTGAAGAGTCATAAAATATCTCCCCTCTTCCATTAAGTACCTTGGGTATTCTTGTCAACAGTAATCATTCCATTCTCTGTATTTCTGCAGGAATTTTGGTCAAGTGCATGAAATATCTGAATAAATAACATCCTGAAAAAGTACTTATAGAGCCATTTGTAAAAGATAATAATATTTTACAAAACTGTCTACTTAATCTAGACTAGGTTATATTATGAATATTTTATAAATATAGTATTGTAGCATAT